TACTCCTCATAGAAAGCTATTGTGTTTGCTTCAAAGAAAAAGATGAGAACATCAAGAGACTTCACTATGGCATCTAACCGAATATGGGATGGCGTCGGCAGGGGTGAAGGGTACCTAGGCGGCAGCCGGATCCGACGGAGTGTGGCGGGGGCGTTGGTCTGGCGGGCTGAACACGGGTGGAGCTGCGAAGGTCCGGCAAGGCCTAGTCGGCGTGGGAGGAGGGTAATGGGGCGTCGTCGGTCTCCGAGAGCGGACGAGGAGGACATGACTGTGAAAATATGCAGACTCGGGGGTGGATCTGTGGTGTTGGGAGTCTAACGTGACGGGTGTCCGTACTCCTCCCGGAGGTCTCACCGATTTGTAGGTGATTTGTGGGATTTCAAATGTCGGTAGTGGTCCAGTCCGATTGATTATCTTCATTGGATGGCTAAAAATGACGGGACGATCAGGTCCAAATATTTACGAGCATTTTTGTGAGAAGATGCCCTGCCATTAGCAAGGGACCGCTGCCGGAAGAGAAAACATAGCATGGAGACCACCAGAGATCCACACGCCGCACCATAGCCCTACTCTCTCGGGCTCACATTGGCTCAGTGCAAGTACGACGGAGTGGTGGTGCTTCGGGGGTCGGGGCTCTGGCCGTGAGCGTAGCAGCGCCGTACGTACTCCTACTCCTACATAGCCGCGTCTACGCGCAGAGGCAGCAGGGAGGGTGATGAGTGGGGAGTCGTACAGCGAGCGAGGGGGGGAGTAAATGGGGCTCGCAAAGGGCCGACGAGATGAAGACGTGCACCAGGCAAGAGAAAGCAGTGACTTTAAATGAACCCTCTGGCCTCCGAGCGTACCCCTAGCTCGGATTTTGAGCAAAGGAAAAGGAGTAGGAGTACGTACGTGCTTGCATGTGTGTGCGCGCGCGCGCTGCGCTGTGCTGCGCTGGGCTCTCTCGTGGAATTGAATGCGGAGCTCAGAGTTCCCTGCGTCGCTGCGACAGACACCGGGCTGCTGTCGCTGCTGCTGTTGTTGCAGACGCCGGCAGGAGGGTCACCCATCATGGCCAGCCTCGCCGCGCCCGCGCAGGTGCTCGGCCCCGTCACTGAACCGCTCCTCGGCTCGGCGTGTACCGCCGCTGCCATTGCTACAGTCGCGCACAAGAGCTGTCGATGTGAGCAGTGCGCGCTTCTGTTTCTCCGTCGGAAGGGCCAGATGAGCCAAACGTATGATCCGATTCCATCATGATCTAGTACCACGTATGGACCGTATGGTACATGTACATGTACTGTCTACAGGATGGTGGGCTTGCATGCTGCAGATACATCATTGCCGAGGGAATTAGGGGAAGAAGACGTGGTAACGTACGTATTTTTTGCTTGTGCGTCTACGTTCAACTTTTCAGTCAGGCACACTCCCGCTCCCGTGGCATGACAGTCACAAACTTGTCGACAACTAAAGACGACGCAGGGGGGACGGGGGGCAAAACTTATCACCTGAATGCGATGGCAACACAAAATAAATAGCACTCCTGTGCCCGTTGCATGACAGTCACAGTCTTGTCCATAAAAGATGGCACAGGGGAGCAAAAATTTATCACCTGAATGCGATGGCACTACAAAATCGGTATGGAGAGAGCGCAGAAAACACACACTGCCACTATTCGCATGCATGGCGCACAAGAAGTATACGCTGCGCTATAGTAACACTGGACTGCGTCTGATTCAGGAGCGTTTGAATATTTCCTGGACAACGTCCTTTGACTCGTCCCATGCTGCCCCAACTACGGACTAAAGAAAGGCGTATCACGGACCGGACAGAGCCCGTTGCCACTCTCAGTTTACAAGACCATGTAGTCTGCAGAGACGAGTTTCGCCGGCAGCAGTGGTTCGATAGATAGATATGAAGGTGTGCTCAACACGGAAAAATTGGCAGGGGCCCTTAGGTTGAGATGGCCTTGATTTGAGTGGAAGGAGCCGTTCAAGATGTGGGTTGGTTTGAGAAACCGGTGTGACAACAAGGACTATGATCTCTTCTACGCCTTCACAACCATCACTATCGGCAATGGTGCCCGCACGCCTTTTTGGATGCTCCTTGGGTGCAAGGTAGAAAGCCCAAAGACATTGCTCCGATCATCTATAATGCAACCGTACGAAAGAATTGAAAAATTAAAGAGGCTCTTTTGGACAATGCTTGGATATCCAAAATCAAATTGTCCAACAATTTCTCGATTGCTCACTTCCATCAATTCCTCCAACTTTGGGCTAGCATTCGAGGCTTCCAGCTGCAACATGACATGGAGGATGAAATTGTGTGGAAACACACTGACAATGAGCTCTACTGCAGCTTCTGCTTACAAGGCACAGTTCCATGGCATGCTTCGCTCGCCATTGGAACAAGTGATATGGAAAGTTTGGGCCCCTTTAAAATAAAGTTCTTCGCTTGGTTGACCGCTCAAAATAGAGTGTGGACAGCGGACAGATTGGCCAAATGTGGATGGCCAAACTATGGCCTTTGTCCCCTTTGTAGGCGTGAGCAGAAAACAGTCAATCACCTTATTTTCAGATGTCAGTTTTCCATTCAGCTTTGGGGCATGACCAAGGAATGGCTGCAACTCGAAAGCATCGACACCTTTGTCTCAGTTTTCCATTCAGCTTTGGGGCATGACCAAGGAATGGCTGCAACTCGAAAGCATCGACACCTTTGTCTGGCATCATTTTGAATCCACCAAAGAGTGATGGATCGCGCTCTCCGACTCCTACGCTCCCAATAGAAAGGCGTTGGCCTCCCTTGCCTTGCTCACCTCTTGGGCCCTCTGGAACAAGCATAATGCACGGGTGTTACACCACAATAGTGCACCACCATTTGTAATTCTAGCACTCATCAAAGGGGAGGTGGCACTTTGGGTTGCCGCCGGGGCTAAGAAGTTGCATTCAATCATGCCAGGAGAGTAATCCCTTTGTATGGCGGTGGAGTGTGTTGTAGCCCTAATAAACTCTATTATTCTCTTAATTAATATATATGAGGCAACTCTTTTGCCTCGGTTTAAAAAAAACACAAGGCAACAGCCAACGGGGTTCAATTCTCATGATTGCATTTCCCCTTTTCTTCTTTGTTGCAAGCGTCGAACTTTCAAAACATTTGACAACATGACAGGAGGGATTACCCATTTGTAATAACTACTGTAAAACAGACATAGATCGCCATAAATATAGCTTTGAAAAAACAAACCCAGAATGGATATGAGACTTCTTTTCACGTGAGTTAAATAACAGATCGCAAATAATTCAGAATCACTTCTAATACTTCTAATATTGTAATCATCAAAAAAAGAAAATGCGTAACAAAAATTATAGTAGAAAGCATATATATACAACATAAAGATGCATATAGATAGCAGAGTGAACCAAGGGAAAGACCGTTGACAATCAACAATGAGGCAGCAAATAACAGTTCAGTGTCTACTGGCATCCCTTGTCCAGCACAGATACCAGCAGATAAACTCTGTTTATTCAGCAATACATTGTCAACTTGGAAATATCCGGCAGAATTTAAGCGAGGACAATGACATACATGCACATTGCCTAGGCATGATGCAAGAGCTAGACTGCGTAGCACAATGCAGCTCAATGCACATTATTGACAGACCAATATCCAGTTCACGACCAATACCTAAAAGCCCCAGCGACTACTAGGCATGATGCAAGAGGAAGGTTGCATATGCATAGCACAATGCAGCTCACTGCACATTATTGGCACAATATATCCAGTTCACCTCTACTAGTTGAAAGCCCTAGCGACTACTACTTCGCATCGACAGTTCAGAGCTCAAGTTGGATGACCGACTTCTGATTGACACCTCAACGACGCATGACCAAGCTGGAACTTGGGATAGCTTGTGTGCACCAACAGCGCAGACTCACAACCAGTAAGTAACAGGGTTAAAATGTCCTGTGAGAAATAGCTAACGACACCACAAAGAAACGAAAGGAGCTATGATGTCAAGAACTAAAAGACCATGGCTAGACCAATAACAGGCACCTAGCAATGTACACTGCTATGTGCCTGAAAGAGTAACAGGACGTTTGCCCTGAGTTAACCACACTAATGTCAGCATAACAACGTCAATCAGAACACCCAGATGTCTTGTCTCACACATGATCCACTAATGTTCCCATATACCACAGGAGGCCCACAATAAGACCTGCAAACATCACAGAAGGTAAACATAAGCTGTGACAGGAGGTAAAAGCATGAAGAACAAAAGCATATATGTTCTGTTAAGAGACTAAGAATTGATCTCTAACTGCATCATTCAAACGTGATATGGGACATTTTATCAAAAACCGCATGTGTTTGTCGCAGCCTAACTGTCATTGACTATGTGGGTGCAGCACTAACCAGACACACTCCAGGCTTGCCACGCACGCGACTGGTCTGGCAACCATATACATGTAGTTGTATTTCCCTCGTACAGGCAGCTTTGTGATACCAAACAACTTGGGGTAGGCTAGAGCTGAAACCCATAAGGTCTCGCATCCAACTCATGGTTCTGACACATGGATAGCTAGCTTCCATGCACTCCTGTCCGTGGCTAGTTCTTTGGTGGTATGTAGGTTAAAAAATTCCCTAAGCTGTACTAACTTTACACACAGTTATACCAATATGTAAACTAGGAGATCCAAATGTGATGGATTAAATTTGTGAAGTGACAAACCACATAAGGTACAAAATTGTGTAACTTTGCAAGCAGTTTCAACAGTAAAACCAACCAATGGATGCCACACAAACCCCCAAATGACAATGTTACAATAAAAGCTTCAGGTGACAGTAAGCATATTTTCAGTCATTGTGAATTTGTGATTCAAAAACTAAACAGTCAACGGTTATTGATCATGACATGAAACCACAAACAAGAACAGTTTGTTACCTGACAGGTGATGAGATGGTATTTACAAGAGATGTCTTCTTATTGCTCAGAGAAAGTGAATGCATGCGAAAGCACTATCCTATCATTGGCAATATATGGCCTGGTCTATCTGAGGGGGAATTGGTTTTATCTCAGTTCCGAGCTCCTGCTCAATCCTATACCTGTTCCGGAAACAATATTATGTCAAGAGAGCAACTAAAGAATATAAGCGGTCAAGAAATTTGAGGTAGGAAATGAGCATACAAGTTAAAGCGATCCTCGTAGGTGATCAAATTCACAGCCAAACCAAGGTGACCGAATCTCCCAGATCTACCAACCTTTAAAGCCAAAAAAAGGTTATGTGAATCATAGAAAATCAGAGCAGGAAGATATATTACAAACAAAGTAACCAAAATATCGAGGACAAAGCATTTACATGATACACAAAATTTAATTTTCTATTCGGATATAAACCATTGAGGCTGCATTCGGGACGAAGGAATTTTACAGGAATCATGGAGGCTTCCTTTGCTGTGGATTTCTTTCCTTCAGGAGCATTCGGTGCAAAGGAACAGCCACACCGATTCCAAAGGAAAAGCTTCCTATCCTCCATTTTTCACAGGAACTGGAACATGAGCTCGAAGCGCATTTTTCGCGTAGGCCCAAGGCAAACAGGTGAAGCCCTGGACTGCTAGATTTGATGTGTTTGACTGTAGAAGTGGGGTAGACCTGGTTCAGGTGGACCATCCAATGGCACGTGAAAGCAAAAACGATGGTGGTGCATGTGGCGTGTGTCCACGTGTAACAATGATTCACCAAGAGGCAAGCACAGCCGGTTTCCCTTAATTATTTAATCCGTCTGTTAATTTATTCTATCTCCTATGCTGGCTTCCTGTGTTCCGAACACCACTAGTTGAACTTTTTACTACAATTTCAAGCCTGTAGGTTTTCACTTTGGCCAACATCCTACTCCTACGCGTTTTTCTATTCCTTTGTTTTGCCACGTTCTGAACAGGGCCTAAGATTGTGGAACAGATAAAACAATATTCCCAGAATACATAAGAAATACGAAAATTTGATTGTCATGGTATGAGAAATTGAGTCAAAAATCATTTGCATACCCTGTGGAGATACGTTTCAGAGCTCTTGGGGAAATCAAAATTGATAACAACATTAACAGCTTGAATATCTATCCCCCTTGTGAAAAGATCTGAAAAAGATGAAGTCACAGACGTAAGAAACTTGAACAAATGGTATGCCACACACTTCTTCCAGGCTTCCAGCAACAAGCCCAACAACTACTAGACAATTTTACTAGCATTTATTTCTTATAACAAGCAGTTGACGGAAGTTTGAAGTGACCACTGGAAAATTGACTAACATGAAACGACAATACTAGGATTTTCTTTTCCACTGTCTTTCACAGCCGGAACTAATTTGAGACACTCATCACTTCGTTAGTCACTTGACATTTGACAAGTATCTCTTCAGGGATAGAACTCTATGCGAAATTTAAATAGCAAACTAAATAGATGGTTTACTGAAGACAAAACATGTATAAGTGATTGATTAGACCGAGTTAAAATTTCAAGTAGACTGTTGAAACATTAGTACATGTGCCTTTTCATCAAAATAAATTGCATAATGGTAAGGATGAAGACAAGCTTAGATTGAGTGACACAAATATTGTAGGGTTTTTATCATTTCTGCCACTAGTTGTGTCCCACTACTCATTTTTGCCATTAGAAGTTACAACTACTCAAAAATGCCATCGATTCGTGAGATGCTTGCTCAAAAATGCCATTAGATATCTCAAAAATGCCATCACTCCGTTAGATGTTTGCTCAAAAATGCCATTAGACACTGCTATTTTCACGTCAAACCCGTCGACCATGTTATATGACAAAAATAAGCCTAGACCCACATGTCAGTTCTCTCTATCTCACAATGATAAGTATGGCCCCACATGTCAGGAGTAACCAAGCGAATAATTTTACAGGAAAATAAGAACGTTGTTGGGAACAAGTGGACCCCACACTTTATTGTAGTGAGATAGAGGGAGAGCTGGCATGTTGGTTCATAGGTATTTATGTCATTATAACATGGCAAAAGAGATTTGAGATCACAATAATGGTGTCCAGTGGCATTTTTGAGCATGTGTCTAACGAAGCGATGGCATTTTTGAGCAGTTGAAATTCTTAGTGGCAAAACTGAGTAGTGAGACACAACCGGTGGCATAAATGATAAAAACCCAATATTGTATTTGTACGCAAGAGCACAGATAACTCAGACCAGATAGCACATAAAGGGAGATGAACTAGCAATGAGCTCCAAAGAGAAAACGGCAATACAGAAGACACATAATTGCTTGCCTGTACAAACAAGGTTCCTGCATGCCCCATTGCGGAAATCATGGAATACTCTGTTACGGTGGTCCTGCAGCATCTTTGCATGGATGTAGAAGCAAGAGTAACCAAGCTCCGTGATCTTTTTCGCTAATAGCTCAACACGATTTACAGAGTTGCAGAATATTATTGACTGATTTATTTGAAGCTGTATCAATATAAACATAAGTTGGATTATTTATATGTATGCAGGAGATCAAAATGTCCAACTAAAAGAGAGACAGTTATTAAACCTTGGAAAAGAGGGTGTTAAGACAATGAACTTTTTGCCTTTCTTCTACGAAAGCATAGAATTGTGTAATTCCCTTCAGTGTAAGTTCATCCATGAGGTTAATAACATAAGGTTTAGGCAGATATTTATCCTTGAACTCCTTGACAGTCACAGGGAATGTTGCTGAAAACATTAAAATCTGTCGACTCGCTGGAAGGTAACGGATCAACTGCTCTATGGAAGGTTGAAATTCAGGAGAGAGAAGCTTGTCTGCCTGCGAAAAGCCAATAACTCTCATAAGAAAGCACAATAGATATATTTATTTATTGACAAGCCCAAGACTACAGAAGCAAATTCATTCAGCACAAATTCTACAGACAAAAATAGCTTCAATACATTTACTAAAATGTCCCGAGCAAGTTGGGGTAGGCTAGACATGTAACCCAAGAGAAATAGCTTAAATACATTACATTATAGTTACAAGATGAAGACGAGGGCGCCGCCACCTTGCCTCTCAGCTTCAGGTACTATTTGTCCTTTAGGAACCATTACTGAGTTCTTTTACAGACTAACTTTGCCTTTATACATACTCTTTACCAGTGTTTCATCTTTTCATCATTCTTATTCACAAGTAACTTAAGCAATGATCTTAATGCCAATCCTTCTCACTACCAACTACTCTATTTAGCCTAAATACAGGAACTCGGTTTTTTTTTCACATTGTTATTATTGCTTGCAAGTATACATGCTTTCTCATGATTTTAATCGCATTGTTGTTTTTCTCAAATGAAATAAATAGTAATGAGTTTGATGTTACAGTTTGATTTCAAAAAACCTTATTTGTTCGACGGGAACTAGAAAGGGCAGTTACTTGATATAGCAGTTGAGGGACGAATCATATATTTGCATGTTTGTGTCAGGGAAAATAGAATCAGCGTAGGCATAGTCCAATAGCTACAAATTCTTCTTCTGAAATGGTTTTCTTAAGGCACTTCTAACATGACGACTGAAGGCATAGTGTGAGATGTAAGAACTATTTGGTTTTCTTAAGGCACTTCTAACATGACGACTGAAGGCATAGTGTGAGATGTAAGAACTATTTGGTTTGCTCATGAACTCAAGTTAGGTTTGCAACTAAAGTCATGGTGCGGGCGTGCGGCGCAATTACTCAGCTCCATACCAAGTTACCAACCAGTTATAAATCCATGGCATGTTTGGTTCATGTACTACTGCTTAAGGTTGCAAACTTCACAGCTTCTTTTGCTCAAACCCAAGGCGTACTTATTTATCAAGCTATGTTAATTCTCAAAATAGGATCCACATTTGGGGTAAGCCTAAGAGCCTTATTCAACAATTCTGAGTCAGTGACGTGTGCGACCCTCGTGGAAAGAGTACTTAACACAGGTGTGGCTACAAACCAAAGGAAGTGTTAACTTAAACTCAGACAACTTGCCTAACTACCAAACAGGCCCAGCAAAAAAAAAGCTAGTTGCCACAAGTAGCTACATAAACTGTGGATTCAGAAACTTATCAGAACAGAGTGGCAAAGTATGGTCAGCAACCAGCATCCAAACAGACAGATACAAATACAGGTGAACAAATATTCACTATGTATTAAGATTTAAAAATCGGCCATTTACAAGACAATGCAAGCAATGTGACTATTTAGATAGGCTTAGAATGAATTACCTCATCCATAACAAGCATTGAACAGTCCTTCAAGATGCAAACACCTTTCTTCGTAAGGTCCAAAATACGTCCAGGCGTTCCAACAAGTAAATGGACAGGTTGATATAGACGAACAATGTCATCCTTCAGGCTAGTTCCACCAGTGGTGACCATAACTTGGATCTTCAGGTGCTTGCCAAGCTCTTTGCAAACTTGCGATGTCTGTAGAGCCAATTCCCTTGTGGGAACAACTATAACAACTACAAATTTACAGGAGGCAGCATTAGATTATAAAACTTTCCAGTACTATATAGCTGACCAATGCACAGGTACACCCAAACAAAAACAAACAAAACCCCACATTTGGAAGGAGCAAATATACATGTCAAAGTTTCTATCAGCTATTACTATCAAGGCACAAGTAATACATTTGACCCCCAAACAGTATCTATCAGATCAAGTGAGGATGCAGACCAAACCTTGAATAGCATTTTTGTCCTGGTCGATCTTTTCCAGTGCAGGAATACAAAATGCAGCAGTCTTGCCAGTTCCATTTTTTGCTCTAGCAAGAATATCACTACCAGTTAATGCAATAGGAATGCTTTCTTCCTGGATTGGAGAGGGCTTTTCAAATCCTTTCTCATATATTCCCATCAGGAGTTCACGCTTAAGAAAATAATCTTCAAACTCATTCCCTTTGGTGGCAGTAACATCCTATACAAAGAACGAGATTAGATAATAACGATCACATCAACACATAAAGTGAGGCAGCAACATTATGAACTAGCTTACTGGACACGACATTAACCAAAGATCGAAGGGATCTAACACTTGTGGGGATAAAAGAACCGTAACCAAATTTACTTAATATGCAAGTATGATCATTACAATAACATATAGGATGAAGTCTTATTTATTCACGTTGAAAATACAAGTAACTAGCATCAAGTGTCAAGTAATGAAATATTGATTTGCAAGTTGTGGTATGAAGATAACTCATGGATTTCAGACAAAACAGCGTTCAAAACTAGGATCGCCATATATTTGGTATGCAATGTAAGGCATCACAAATGGAAGTTGATAAATAAAAAGAGTCGTGACTACAATTTTTACCACAGCAAGAAAAAACTAGTTATGCAAAGTATAGCGACCAACATATTTCAACATTTACGGTATTCCTGGTACAGGAAGTACCCAAACTCCAGAAACAAACACAAAACTAAGAATCAAGATGGAATGAATTACCTCTGTCCTGAATCGTGTATCTGCGGGTGGAAGCTTCAGTTGGGCCTTCCAATCTTGTGAACTGCACAAACCGAATATAATAATTGCTGAGCGGCCATCTCCAGTTCACGTTTCTCCACGTAGAATGGTTATTTATGATCATGTCTAGATCAATGATTCATTACTTACCCGATGTTTGTTAAGCTACTTGTATTACAGTTCAGCTAGAAACATAGAATGCAGAAAACTGATGTGGGTTGCTTAACATCAGAAAAGGAAGCATCTACCACAGCATTTGGTTGGCTTTCGCAAGCTACATTGGTGATGCTTAAACTATGTGTTGAAGCATCAGCTACCATGACCTATAAGCTGCCATCCAAACTACTACTAAGCTTTTATCGTCTCACCTAGGATCGTTGCCGACCGCCGCTGGGGGTGGCGCCACGACCTTGGGCCCGCTGGTCCCGGCCGCGGTGATCTGGTTTCGCCGCAGCCACTGCTGCTGCTGTTGCTGCTGCTGCTGGTGGTGATTTTGGTGATGCTGCTGCTGGTGGTTACTTTGGTGGTGGTGCTGCTGCTGGTTATTTTGGTGGTGCTGCTGCGGCTGCGGCTGCGGCTGGCGCTGCACGTATTGTTGCTGGTGCGCCGCCGACGTCTGGTGGTGGTGGTGGTGGTTGTTCTGCGACAACGGCGGGCCACGGCCGTAGTAGTTAGGGTTCCCGCCGCGACCGTTGCCGGTTCCGGGAGGGTACCTGGCGCGCGGATCCATGGGTGAGAGGAGGGATCGGATCTTGTGAGGAATCGGCGAGAGAAGGGGCAGATCGAACAGCGACGAGGAGATCGCAAAGGGGAAGTGGATTCGGATGGTGGAATCAAGGTGCTCGGCGCCCGGATCAGGCCGAAATTTGAACCCTTTCTGCCTAGTGGTCGTGCCGGGGAGGAGGAGCGAGACGACGGAACGGAAGGGATGGGAGCGTCGCCGAACGTCTGAAGCTAGGGCAGCGGCGAGTTGGAATTGGAGGAGGGAGACAATTACAACAATGCCCTGCCAAATTTATCTGGGTACGCCTGGAAACGGAAAAAATTACTACTACTTAATCGAGCCATAAACTTCTAAAGCCGAAATCACCACACCAAACTATCCTGATCTATTTTGAACCTTGAGGAAGTTCCCAAACAGAGATTCATCAACATGGCAGATCGAATCAAGAATTGTTGGGTTGTTTTTTAAAAAAATCTCGCTTCGCTTTATTAAGCATCTGAAATGTCCATAGATACAGAAATTGGGTCATGGGAATGTCCCAACCATAAGGCCTCGTTTGGTTCCGAGGTACCCTCTCGGGATTCCCGTCGTTTCCCTGGGTGGGAATACCACGAGCAAATTTCGGCCCGGTTTTATGGAACCTATTTGGTGCTAAGCGGGGGAGGCATTTTCTTCTTCGATCCACGCCAGTTCCCTGGGTATGAAACCATCGCCTCGACCGGTCAGGAGAATTCTCCCCATCCTTCTCACGACGAGTCTTAGAATCGTACTCCGCCTTGCGACCTCCTCTGCTAAAATGTGATGGCGCCTACCTCCTCCGCTGATCTCCTCAATCTTCCCAAGCACACACCAAAGGGCCGCGTGAATTTTTCACAGGTATTTTGTTTTGCCAAGATTATTTCACCCAGGGCGTCTTTTCCCTGGAGATTTCTCCCTCCATGTCCAAACAAGGCCTAAGCGGCGACCTATACCTAGCACATAGGCGTGCTTGACAAAAAAATAAGCTTCAAAATTAAAGTTTCTACTTCAAAAATAAACTTACAACTATGAAAACCGGTTTTTTTGCATGTATCTCATGAATAATCATTGCATGTGTTTCACCAGTTCCTTCATCGATATCTTGTATCACACCCTTGCGATCTGTCGCAATGTGAATTTTTGCAAGATTATTGGGTGCGGTTGAGGGAGGGGGCACCACAAGTATTTGGGCCGGCCCACTATACCACAGCAAGGTATGAAATGCTCGTGGTATTAAAAATTTGTTCAAATTTGAAAATATGTTCATGTTTGCAAATTCTGTTCATAAATTCAAAACATGTTCATGTTTTAAAAAACATTTTCAAAAAATGTTCAAAAATTTCAATAAAAATATTCGTATTTTTAAAAAATTGCACCATTTTTCAAAATATGTTCATCTTTCAAATTTCGGTCATAAAATCAAAAAATGTTCAGTAATTCAAAATATATTCATGCATTTAATTTATTGTTCATAAATTAAAAAAAGTTTTATTTTCTATTTTTGATCACAAATTACAAAATGTTTCGTTTGGAATTTCAAACAATCTTCAAGATGTGTTCTTCAATGATTTCTTCTTACGATCTGATGTCCATATGTGAGTAGTCCGGTAAGATATGGGATGAGGCATAGACCTTGCAACCCTTTGTATTTGTTGTGGGGATCAATGGAATGGCTTTGAATTAACATCCCATATGTGTAAAATAAAATTGTTTCGTAGATATATCTTGTCTTGTTCGTGATCTTCATCCCTGTAGGTACGCAGAAACATGGAAATCGAGCAACGGTAAGGCTAAGTGCGGGGAGAACGTGAAGTGTTATGCTGAACACTAGTGATAGAAAGGTTTAGTACGGTAATACAGATCCAATCCTTAGGGATTTAAGAGGTGTGGTAATTAAACGCCCAAAGCTCTTGTCTGATATTTATTATCTTAATTATCAAGGCAATCCCACGCGATGGATAGGGTCTGCGGTAGGATAACTGATTATTGATGCAAGACTCATGCCGGTCAAGATATTATTTGGACATATCCACTACTAGAGAAAATCTTATGCATGGAGGCTTATCAGTAGCGCGTGTTAAAATAAGGCACTACTGCGGTCACTAAGGGCGCTACTGATAATTACATAGCAGTAGCGCGGCTTCAGGAAAACGCACTACTACTATAACTACCACATTATTGCCCACAAGCTAGGTATAGTAGTAGCGAGCTTCCAACAGACTTGTTACTGCTAAGTATATAGTATTAACGAGTTTTTAGGAGAGGGCGCTACTGCTAAGTTTGAACCGTGTCACATGACGGGCCCCACATAGCAGTAGCATGTTCCACAGGAGCGTGCTACTGCTACGTATTTTAGCAGCAGCGCGTTTTCCCAACCCACGGTACTGCTAAAAGTAAACCAAATAAATGAAAATAAAATAAACCAAAAAGAAAGAGAAAATAAAATGAAAAACAAATATAAAAGTAAATGAAAATAAAAAAGAAATGGAAAAGGAGAAAAGAAAATGTAAAGAAAAATAAAATAGAAAGAAAAATAAAAAAGAAAGGCATAGCAGTAGCGCTAGTCTCCAACCAACGCTATAGCTAAGGTAGCAGTAGTGCGGGCTGAGAACCAGCGCTATAGCTATCAGTAAGCAGCAGTAGCCTGTGTACCTAACTGATGCGTCCATTTTGCATCATGTTTTCCTACTGTTATTTATAAAAAAAATTATGTATAATAATGATTTATGAAGTAATTTTAATGCATTTTCTCTCGTAATATGCAAGATTTACACGAAGAAGGAGAATGCCGGCAGCTGGAATTTTGGACCTGAAAAAGTGTCGAGTTCAGCGGGAGTAGGAGCGGTAGTACCGCTCATAAGCGATGGTACCGCACTTACCACCGCTGCTAGTGTCACTCGAGGTTTGTCTTCTCTTCCCCTTCTCCCTGTGCTCGTGTAAGATGCTGAGCATGGTCCCAACGATAATATCGCTGGGCCAAGCGGTAGTACCGCTCCCATGGGCGGTAGTACCGCGCACTGCAGACTTAGAGTGGGGATAACGGTTGGATATTTTCTCCCACTATAAAAGGTGGTCTTCTTCTTTAAGAAGACTCACCTCTCCCCCCCCCAAACTCCATTATTGCTTCAAAGCTCATTTTCGCCCGATCTATTTCCCTATCCAATCAAACTTGTTGATTTTCTAGGGATTGGTTGAGAATGCCCGAATCTACACTTCCGTGCGGATCTTGTTACTCTTGGATGTTTGAGCACACTAGACGGTTGAGGTCACCTCGGAGCCACATTCCAATGTGGTGAAGCTCCGTGGTGTTGTTGGGAGCCTCCAATCAAGTTGTGGAGATTGCCCCAACCTTGTTTGTAAAGATTCGGTCGCCGCCTTCAAGGGCACCACTAGTGGAATCACAACATCTCACATTGTGTGAGGGCGTGAGGAGAATACGGTGGCCATAGTGACTTCTTGGGGAGCATTGTGCCTCCACACCGCTCCAACGGAGACGTATTTCCCTTCAAAGGGAAGGAACTTCGGTAACACATCCTCGTCTTCACCGGCTCCACTTGTGGTTATCTCTTACCTTTACTTTGTGCAAGCTTTACTTGTGTTGTATCCTTTGCTTGCACTTGTTGTTGTTGTTGTTGTTGTTGTTAGCATCATATAGGTTGCTCACTTAGTTGTACATCTAGACAACCTATTTGTTGCTAAACCTAATTTGTGAAGAAAAGCAAAAAATTGGTAGTTGCCTATTCACCCCCCTCTAGTCAACCATATTAATCCTTTCAGTTCCGAGACCATGTCCATACTAGGTTTGTCAAGTTTAAGCCAACTATTCTACATGTGCAAAATTGGTTTACGCCCGTTGTATGTGAACGTAGAGTCTATCACACCCGATCATCACGAGGTGCTTTGAAACAATGAATTTTGGCAACGGTGCATACTCAGGAGAACACTTTTATCTTGAAATTAAGTGAAGGGATCAACTTATAATGCTACCGTCGTTCTAAGCAAAATAAGATGCATAAAGGATAAACATCACATGCAATCAAAATATGTGACATGATATGGCCATCATCATCTTGTGCTTTTGATCTCCATCTCCAAAATATCGACATGATCTCCATCGTTATCGGCACGACACCTTGATCTCCATCGTAGTGTCGGGGTCGTCTCGCCAACTATTGCTTCTACAACTATTGCTAACGCATAGTGATAAATTAAAGCAATTACATGGCGCTTAAGTGAATGACACGCAGGTCATACGATAATTAAAGACAACCCTAAGGTTCCTGCCGATTGTCATACTCATCGACATGCAAGTCGTGAACTTATTACAATACATGATCATCTCATACATCAACATATATCACATCATATCTTGACCATATCACATCACAACATTCCCTGCAAAAGCAAGTTACATGTCCTCTACTTCGTTGTTGCAAGTTTTACGTGGCTACTACGGGCTTCTAGCAAGGGCCGTTCTTAACTACACAAAAAACCACAACGGTGATTTATCAAGTTTGTTGTTTTAACCTTCTTCAAGGACCGGCCGTAGTCAAATTCGATTCAACTAAAGTAGGAGAAACAGACATCCGCCAGCCACTTTTATGCAAAATAAGTTGCATGTCAGTCAGTGGAACCGGTCTCATGTGCATAGACATGTAAGGTTGGCCTGAGCCGCTTCATCCCACAATACGGTCGAATCAAAATAAGACGTTGGTGGTAAGCAGCATGACTATCACCGCTCACAACTCTTTTGTGTTCTACTCGTGCATATCATCTACGCATGGACCTCGACATGGACGGAGGAGGAACTAGAACTAGAGGGAGACGGGGCACCGCACACGGCTTGGGGATCATGTTGTATGTTGCCCCTGTCCCTCCTCTCATATATATAGGGTCGCGTTATTCGTCATCCTGGGTGAGGAATAGTTATTCTTCACCCCCTCTTTATTTTGACATCAATGCAACGTATTTTTACGTTTCGTAAATTT